GTTCAAAAACCATTAAAACTATTCGATTATTGAAAAATAGTGGCTTTTCAATGATTTGATAAAAATTTCAATGTCAAAAACTATTAAAACTATTGAATTTTTGAAAAATAAAACTGTTTCTTCATAGTTTCATAGTTTCAAAATTTTCAAAAACGATTAAATGATTGAAAACCATGATGTTTGTATAATTTAATAGTTGCAAAATTTCCAAAACTGTTCAATTAGTCAAAAATGGTGGTTTTCAGATATATCAATAGTTTCAAAAGTTCAAAACTATTACAACTATTTAATTATTGGAAAATGATGGGCTTTTACTAATTTAACAGTTTTGAAAGTAACTATTAAACTATGAAATTACTGGAAAATATTTGTTTTTAATAGTTTAATAGTTTTACAAATTTCCAAAATTATTAAATTATTGAAAAATTGTGGTTGTTTAATAATTTCAAGCACTATTAAATTATTGAAAAATAGTGGTTTTCTTTTAATAATTTGATAGTTTCAGAAGCTATTAAAATTCTTGAAAAATATGAGTTTTTCTATGATTTACTAGTTTTAAAAATAACTATTAAACCTGAAAAAACAGTATGTTTTACCAAACTTTTGAAACATCATGGTTTCTGTCATACTTTAATGGGTTTAAAATTTTCGATAACTATTAAAGTGTAAAAACCAGCATTTTTTAATTTTAAAAGTTTCATTAACTATTTCCTTATTAAAACCAAAGTTTTTTAAGAATTTAGTAATTTTGAAAGCATCAAATTGGTGAATAATAATGGTTTTTCTCTTCTGAGTTGTTGGGGCACTTTTCCTCTACCAGAAGGTGACGGAATTGGAAGGATTTTTTTGTTCTTGGTGTCGGTGATTAGGTGAGAACTCATACGTTGATTTTGAGGGGGGAGCTCTGTCCTCTCTTGCTAGGAGTGAAGTCTCTTCGCTCTTCTCAAGACTGAGAGGCGACTTACCAAGAGGCAACAGAACTCTCTTCCAGAAAGAAGCTCTCTTCTCTTTCCACGTTGCCACGAATAATCTTTGGGGGAGCTCTCTTCTTGTTTTAAAGCAAACGGTGGAGGAGTTCTTTTTTTTGAAGGTTGAGGCGCGGACCAGACTTCTTTGTTTGAAGGTTGGGGGAAGCTTCACCCTTTCTTCTTGAGCGCATGCTTTCTTCCATCTTTCGAAAAGGTAGAGGGGATAGTCAGGATCTCTTTCTTCTTCCTAAAGAGAATGGAGGTCTCTTCTTGCCGACTGAGGGGTAAACGCAGCTCTCTGCTTTCTCGACAGCTTGGTGAGATGGAGCTCGCTTCTGTCTCATTAGATTGGGGGAAGCTCTCAGTCTGTTCTTTTCGAGGATGCGTTAACTTCTGTTTTTGGAAGCCAGGGGAGCTCTGTCCTCTCTTGCTGAGAACGAGGCCTCGTCAATCTTCTTAAGAGTAAAAGGCGACTTACCAAGAGGTAAAGGAGCTCTCTGCCAGAAAGAAACTCCCTTCTTTTACCGCAAATATCTTGGGAGGGGCCCTCTTCTTGTTTTGAGGGAAAACCAGATGTCTCTTGTTGAAGGTTAAGGGGAGCTCCACCCTTTCTTCCTGAGCATATGCTCTGATCCATCTTTTGGACAATGTAAAGGACCTTTTCCCCTTACCTAGAAAGGAAGAAAGTCTCCTCTTGCCGACTGAGGCATAAACGGAGCCCCTTCTTTCTCGCGAAGTTGGAGGGGCCTGATTGCGATTTTGAAATGGAGCTCTCTTCTTTCTCATGAACTTGGAGGACGCTCTCTTCTTCTTTTTGTAGGCAAGGGGCGCTCTGTCCTCTCGTGCTAGGAGTGGCAGCCCTTCATTCCTCTTCAGATGAAATGAAGACTTATACCAAGATGTAAAGGAAATCTCTTCTAGACAAAGCTGCACTTGCCAAGAATACCTTTGGAGGGGGCGTTTTCCTTGTTCCACACGACGAGGTAAAGGACTGCTCATGTCTTTTTGAAGTTTGAAGCATAAGGGACCTTTGTCTTCAGTTCTCGCGAGTTATCTCTCTTCTATCTCTAGAAGCAGACGACGGGACGACAAGGAGCTCTTCTCTGTCTCATTGTCGACTACGCGGCGGGAGCGTTTTTTCTTTCTTCTTCGTGAAGCTGGAAGAGGGGCTCTCTACTGCTTTGAGACGCTGCGGTAAAGGACCTGCCAGGGGATCTCTTCACTTACCCATCTAGGGAAAGAAGCTCTTTTCTTGGCGTTGAGAGGCTAGGGGAGCTCTCTTCTCTCTCGTGCGTTGTTTGAAACTGGAGAAGGTTTTGTCTTCTTATACTGGGAGCGAGCCCTTTCAATTCTCTTCAGAGGAGATGGAGACTTACCAAGAGGTCAAGGAGTTCTTGTAGACGGGAGCTCTCTACAAGAGCAAGTTGGAAGGAAATCTTTTCTTACTTGGGAGCATGAAGTCGGGGGCTTACCTGTCTTGTTGAAGGCTGGGCGGAGGACCAATTTTTTCTTTTTGTTGTTAGGGAGAGCTCTACCCTTTCTTCTTTAGCGTATGCTCTGCTCCATCTTTTGAAATGTAAAGAGATAGTCAAAATCTCTTGCCCTGACCTAGAGAGAAAGGAGGTCTCTTCTTGCCGATTGACGAGTAAACGGAGCTCTCTTCTCTCTCGCCAAGTTGCAGGGGCCTGTCTGCGAGTTTGAGATGGAGCCCTCTTCTGTCCCATTACATTGCAGGAAGCTCTCTTCTTGTTGAGGATGAGGTAGAAAACTTTTGCGCTGTTTTTGAGACTGGGGGAGCTCTGTCCACATTTTCCAGGAGCGAGCGCTCTTCTATCCTAGAAGATCAAGGTGAAGACGCACCAGGAGGCAACAGAGCTCTCTAGAAAGAAGCTCTCTTCTCTTACCAAGATTGACTTGGACTTCTTGTTTCACATGATGAGGTCGAGGGCTTTTCAGGACTAGGCTTCTCTTGTCAAGTATTGTAAGTTGAGCTCCACCCTTTCTGCTTGATCGTAAGATCTCTCCATGTTTTGAAGAGGAGGAGGAGATGATCAGGAGCTCTCACCCGTTTTCTTCTTGTTAACAGAGAGGTAAACAGAGCCCTCTTTTGTCTCCAGAAGCTAGAGGGCCTCTCTTCTGAATTGTTGGGGCAGAGGACATGTCAGGGGATCTCTTCCTCCACGAACAAGTAAAGGAGCCGTCTTCTCGCTCGTTCAATTGGAAGGAGTTTTTGCTTGATGTCGGTGAGTCGGTGATTAGGTAGAGAACTCGTACTTTGATTTTGACTCAAGACTGGGAGTCGACTTGCCAAGACGTAACCGAACTCTCTTCTAGAAAGAAGCTCTCTTCTCTTGCCACGTTGCCACGAATAATCTTTGGGGGAGCTCTCTTCTTGTTTTAGAGCACGGTGGAGGAGTTCTCTTTTTTGAAGGTTGAGGCGCGGACCAGACTTCTTCGTTTGAAGGTTGGGGGAAGCTTCACCCTTTCTTCTTGAGCGCATGCTTTCTTCCATCTTTCGAAAAGGTAAAGGGGATAGTCAGGATCTCTTTCTTTTATCTAGAGAGAATGGAGGTCTCTTTTCGGTCGGGGTAAACGCAGCTCTCTGCTTTCTCAACTTGGTGAAATGGAGCTCGCTTCTGTCTCATTAGGTTGGAGAAAGTTCTCAGTCTCTTCTTGTCGAGGATGCCTTGGCTTCTCTTTTTGGAAGCCAGGGGAGCTCTGTCCTCTCTTGCTGAAAGCGAGGCCTCCTCGTCAGTCTCTAAGACTAAAAGGCGAATTACCAAGAGGTAAAGGAGCTCTCTGCTAGAAAGAAACTCCCTTCTTTTACCACAAATGTCTTGGGAGGACTCTCTTCTTGTTTGGGGGAGGACCAGATGTCTCTTGTTGACGGTTGGGGGGAGCTCCACCCCTTCTTCTTGAACGTATGCTCTGATCCACCTTAGAGAGAAAGGAGGTCTCCTCTTGGCGACTGAGCGTGAAGTTGGACTGCGATTTTGAGATGGAGCTCTCTTCTTTCTCATGAACTTGGAGGACGCTCTCTTCTTCTTTTTGTAGGCTGGGGGAGCTCTGTCCTGTCTTGCTAGGAGTGGGAGCCCTTCGTTCCTGTTCAGATGAAACTAAGACTTACACCAAGATGTAAAGGAAGTCTCGTCTCTTCTTAAAAATCTTTTCGTGCCAAAAGTAGCTCTGGATGGGGCTTTTTTATTGTTCCACACGACGAAGTAGAGAGCTGCTCGTTTCTTCTTGAAGGCTGCGGAAAGGACCAGTTTCGTTTTTTGAAGGTGTATGGAGCTCAGTCGCTGTGCTGTGACTTCCCACGTCATACGGACTGTGCCGCGTCAAGGCTGAATATCCCGTGTTCTCCATTCTCCGTGGCACACCTCCGTGTTCGCACATCCAGGGTGATGCAGCGGGTGCCTTCGAGGACTTTGGCCTCCCGTTCAGCTTTTAATCTCAAAACCTAGCCTCTTGAGGAAGAGTTTGTGTTCGCTTCACGAGCGCTGCTTGGTGATCTGCTGCAGTTGGATTTTGATGGAGGCTGTGGCAAGGGACCACACATGATCACTGAAGCATGTCGGCTATGCCGGTGTGAGGTTTTGTTGACTGGGGGTCTCTGAGCCCGACGAACTGTACTTGCCGTGTGTGGCGGTTCGTCATTGCGACTTCTTGCACATGTTCAAAGACTGTCGGAAGCTTACGAACCTCTCGGTTTTACATCTTGGGGTATTCGTTTCCGACCTGAATGCAAGTTTGCACAAAAATGCACCAAACAAGTATTCAAGCAACTCTTCTGTTGTAAACCAAGTCGGCTGGCTCCCTCTGTTTATATGTATAACGACCCCTTTCCAAACATCCTGCATGAATACCACGCATACTGAGCATGGGATTTGTTGTTGCAGCAACCTTTGCAGCTTCCTGAATAAGGTAGTTTAGAGATTCCTCCACAGTAAGGTTTGATTGAGTCCTCGCAAGCCACCACGTTCATGATGGATTCCCATATCTTTCTCATATTGGGACAGAACTGAAGCTCCCTTATAGGTGATATGGAACTATTGCAGGCTGCAGATGCTGATAGTCCCAGGCTGCATCATTGAGCTGGTGTGCTTCGATCCATCCACCTCCGCCATGAAGGTCGCCAATCCAAAACCACACACAGGCTATGACCTGAAAACAGATAGTCGATGGCACTGACACGTTGCACATGCTCTGGAAGACTTGCATTGAACAGCTAGAATTGTAGGCACAGTGACCGAGAGGATAAGCTCTGAAAGACAGGTTGCATGGTTGACAATCAAGAGCAAGGCTAGCATCTTCAGGATGCTGACAACTATGCTGATGTACCTCGGACCAGCTTGTGCGAACGCACTCGGAGAAGGTCATGTGCCGACATGGAGAATGGCCCAATTCCAGTGCCAATCACACCACGTCACTCGGAATCCACCAAATCGCTGATGCTTTCCATGGTTTTCCTCAGGCGTAGGATTCGCACGAGCCGCACCTGAGGCGTCGCATTCCTAGTGCAGCGAGGGCTTGTGCTGGCTCAGTGAACAGCCCTCTGAGCACCCTACCATGCGGAAGAGGCGGAGGCTTCGTAGAAGTTTGACCGAGCTTCCAGCTGAGGATTCAGATGATCCATCCGAAGATGCAGAGAGTGAGAATATCCAGTCTGAGCCGACTACGATCAGGTCGATGAGAAACCAAGTTTTGATGTAATGGAAAATAACTTTGTGTGGAACCATTACGAATATCCCTTTGTCTATGTAGCCGACGAGGCAGGAGATCAACATGTTGATGCTCCAATACGTCAAAATCAACCACTGCATGAAGTTTGAAATATCTGTATCTGGAGGTTCGAAAACTTGCATGGAGATTGTGAAGAGGTCATGCACGATCAGCCCAGCCCCAGCACAATCCCAGGCCAGCTTCAAGGGGCTGCTCGGAAAGATCATGAAATGACGAAAGAAGCCGTTGTATTCCTGCACGACCATAAGATCTTCTGCGAAGTCAGAGCTCGGAAGTTTTGCATCTGCACCACTGATTCTGAAGCCAGGGTCCTCTCCTCTGGTCCAAGTAACAAGCGGTTGAAACTCATGATGCTGCACATCCGAAGGCCCCATGTTTGACTCCAAATACTCACTTCGTTGCATCACGAGGCGTTTCCGCTCTGCACCGCTGAAGTACACGAAACTTGCAGGTGCGGAGCGAATACTGTGAATCTGATACAATCGATGATCTCGACCAGATTCTGCATGATCTGTTGGCAGTTGAAGCTTAACGTGCCCTTTCGTCTCCGATGCGCTCTTGTTCACCGGACTTCGAGACTCGCAGTCCAGGTTATCCCCCGTCAACGACGTAAAACCAAGCAGCACGCCCTGAGAATGTACCCGAGGAGGAATCGGCACTGCGTCCGGATCTAAACAGCTGCGTCCGGCTGAAAACTCTGTGGATGGGCAGCGCTTGTGACTGACAACAGAGCTCTCAGGAATGGTTTGTTGTATATCTTGAATCATCATCAAGTCCTCCTCCAGTCTTGCCTGAAGCTTATCCTTCCACTGGTCGAGTAAATCCCGCCAAGCATCGTGATGCTCGGGCTCGCTGTGAGATGGATTACAGGAGCAACCGAGTTTATCCAAGGGCAGCGCAAAGGACGTCATGAAGTTAGTTGCCAACTGCAGGCCTTTCAGGTGTAATGGCTGCGTCAAACATGCGGCGAAGTCTACACACGATCTGATCAAACCAAAACAGCTTTACCTGCCCTTTCAATAGCACAGACTGCACGTAAAGGGCTATCCAGGTGCAGAATCGAGTCTTGACGCGAGAAGCTCTTCACCTCTTAGGCTCTCAACCGCTTTGGCCGTTTTAGTCTCCCTTCTGGTGCCAAGAAGTCGTCGTTCACACACGGAGGACCTGTTCGACCTACATTAAGCAACATATTCTGCAGACCGGTTGTGAATCTGCTGCTCGCAGCTTTGCAGCTTTTGGGGTCTGTGCATCGCCTCACCCCGTACTGTACTTATGATGCAACAGTATATCTAAAACACAAACACAGATAATGCCAGCTATATACATACATGCATGCATGCATACATGCATGCATGCATACATGCATGCATGCATACACATACACACACGTGTGTGTTTTTAGTTTGTCGTATGTATGTATGTATGTATGTATGTACGTATGTACGCATGATATGTATACATACATACATACATACACACATACATACATACATACATACATACACATATACATACACATATACATATACATATACATATACATGTACATATACATATACATATACATATACATATACCTATACCTATACCTATACCTATACCTATACATATACATATACATATACATATACATATACATATACATACTCAACACATGCACATCACAGAGGCTGTGCTTACCAGCTTTGCCACCACCACGGGATGCAATTTTTTGAACGACGCACAAAATCTTGGAGTCGGTGGTGAAACTTCCTGCCGCTCACTGGATGCCCATGCTGAAGAGCGACTTGGCTGCCAGAGTGCTTCCAGATCAAGCACCTGCTAGAGGTCTAGGCCAGCCTTGCAAAAGTATTCGGCACAGCAGGAAGAATCGGCGCAGAAGCTTGTAGGAAGCAGGCCTTCTCCGTAATTGCCCTGCACATCACGCAGGTGACATGGCCTCCAGAACACGCCAAGCACAGGGAAGAGTCGGGAAGAGTACACAAGATGCCGGGCAAGTCAGCGCTGCCTTTTCCCAAGAATACGGCGTGTGTCCCGGCGGACACTGTGATCCTTTGGCCGCCCAAATATTAGCGAAGCCCTGCCGCGGCACTGGCAGGCACCAAAGACGAGACCCGGTGAACTGAAAAAGGTGCTCAGTAGGTAGCCTCCTTCATTCCAGAAGCTTGATGGTGCCAGGAATATGCTGTGTGCCCAGGTGGCACAGTGCTGCCTTCCCCAAACTCAAACAAAAATCTGCACAAGCTGCTGAAGCGGACACATCAGCGGCTGGAAAGCTTCGTTACCTGTTGGAGTCCAGACTCCGGCAAAACCTGCACACAACGACTGCAAGCTGAACTGCAGAAGTCCTTACATGGTGGTGCGGGAAGCCTTTCGGTCTGTCTTGAGACGATGTACACGTCGGCGGCGCCGCCGAAGGTGCCTTCACTGACGGTCATTGGAGTCATTGGCACTACCTGCACTCTCGTAGCATGTAACAATGGGCTCCACCTTCGTCTTGCCGGACTGGCTTCCTCGGGAAGCGGACGCGCTCCCCAGCGTCGTTTGATGATGGATGCCATAGGCCTCAAGATGCAGACTTTGCACAACGCGATGGAGAAGACTTCGGGGCCCCGCCAGCAGGTGCCATCGATACTCCTGGCTTTCTGTCGACTTGTGCATCGCGGAAAGGGCACCTGCACTGCGGCTGTGGTCGCTGCACCTCTTTGAAAGCCGCTTCACTAGGCTTCCAGCTCGAAATCAGCACGAGAAACACTCAGAGAGCTGACGGAGCACAGGTTCAACAAATAACAAGCGATGGTCTGACTAGCATCCGGGTCCGAAGCATATCGCAAAAACGATCTCCGAAAAATTAACAGCAGGCCGGGTCCTACGACGATCATGCAAATATCGGCATCGCTGCCCCAGGCTCGCATGGTAATCGCATCTCGAAAACAGTTTATTCTGTGGTTGTCAGCACTCTCGGCTCAGTATGGATCAATTGTGCTTCGCGGATTTTTCAAACTTCGTCCATACTCGACAGTGCATGCACTCTCACTCTCATGGCCATCCTTAAGTCAGGGTGGGCACATTCAGAGATCACAACGTAGGTCACGTGCTCCCGGTGCTTTGGCAAAGATAACTTCTGTCGCTATGACATGTTATGAGCTTTCCAGGAGGCACATCAAAGTTCCTGGATGACCGTCTTGCTAAGCTTGACGACAATGCATCTTTTGGTCCGCAGCATTCCCCAAAGAGTGGCGATGTTACGTTCATCCCGCATCCACTCCGAATACTGTCCTGGGTTGTGAGCGCTGGACGAAACGCACCCAACAGCCACCCTGCCAACAACTCGTCTGAAGAAGGGTCTCCTTGCAGAACCCCCTTCCGTTCAGAGCTAGAGAAATTTATCTTGCCTCCAGCAGTCGCAGGGCCAGCCTGCAGACATTACATTACCATGCACATGCTGCCTCCACGCACGGCCCGTCCAGCCCCACAAGCTTAAAGGTTAAAGAGCGACTCCAACAAAGAAACACGGCGTCCTTCCGCTTCTTGTTGGAATCCTTATCTGTGTCCTGCACGAAAGCTAGCCGAAAGAGACTTAACGGAAGCTGCACATGCAGGATGTTCCACGTGATGTAAGAAAAGACGCGCGCGTGTCTGAAAAAGATCCGACATGGGGCAGAAGCAAAGATTTCGATGCAGTCGAGCTCCAGATGTGCCAAGCCCCTTGGAACTGGAGACCGTAGCACCGTTTTCAGTCCCGATTAAATGCAGTGCCGGCTGTTGCATTCAAGCATTAAGAGTGTCTGTTGGAAAGTTCTTGCTCCTCACGTCGTTCAAGCATTCGCACTGCTATATGCGAGTCTTACACGAGGAAAGCTTTCCTCCGTCAACTTCTCGGATTTGCACAGTCCGCAACCGTCAAATGGAGATGCATGGTTTATCTGTTTGATACCCTGAGAACAAATCTGCTGCATGCGAAAGCTAAGAGAGCACTTCTTCCTGTCGCTCAAATGTTCAAGAAACTAAGGAGAATCGAATGAGTCATCGTGAAGTCAGTTTGGCAAACTGGAACACACATCCAGCGGCCCAAAGGTCGAATGTAACTGGCTTTTGTCGTGATTGTTGCTGCATTGTTGCTTTCTTTGGGGTTCTGATTCAAGATTGACACAAACCCAATTAACTGCTGCGTCCCCTGCATTTTCACATTGATCAACGGCTAAAACTACTCTGGCGAGTAAACCCCTCTCAACAGCAAACTGAAGTGATGCTCTGCACAACATGACGAGACATCCGTAAAACAACATGCCAGTTTAGCGCTGCATGTTTTATCATGGAGGGAAGTCATGCAGTCCGTGTGTGTTGTGATTTCTTTCCTGGGCCTGTCGACATACTGCCGGGACCATTGGGAGGCTTCGGCCCAAATCGCACTCCGTGAGGGTCAAAGGGGAGGAGCAGAAGAGCCTAGGACTGAGGGTCGGGATTTCAACTGCTCTGCGGAGCAGAGAAAAGTACATGTCACAAAGCTGACACCCACCCGAGTCCTTTGGCGCAAGGTACCTGCAGCTAGAGAAATTCACAAACGGGATCGCCACAACGCCCAGACAAGCCGAAGCGCTTCGGCAGAACTGCAGAAGCTCGTGCTTTCGCAGCCATGGACTTGAGGACTTCTTTGTAGTCACCCTGGGCCTCCAAAGACCGAAGACAGAACGAAAATCAGTTTCGACTCAAGCCTGGCAGCCTGGCCTCCGCAACAGCCGTCGCCACTTGCATGGGAAAGGCTTGACCAAGGGCGCGGCGCAGTGTTACCTTCTCTTTCTTTCATACCAGGATACAAGTATGACATTCTCCAAGAAAGCCCAGCCTGCTTGGTCGTAGCTGCATCGAAAGGTAGCTTCACACCACTGGAGGGCTCCTGAAAACACTCTATCTGTCTCACAAAAACAACAGGAGAGCAGTACACCAGGTCACGGGGAAGGTCACAGCATGGCATAATCTTCTGAAACAAGACGTGCTACCTGCTACTCAAGAACATGCACTATCATCAGAGATTGAAGGAGCGACATATCGCCTGCGGTAGAGAGTAGAGCTTCTGTCGTCTTTTGCCATGAGCCGAAAGCAGAGTCTGGATTTAAATGCCCGAACAAGCGGAGAAGGCAAAACCAAGAACTCAAACGGAAACCTGCATGGAAAATGTGGTCTTCCACACAGGGTCTAAAGGGGTCAGCACAAGGACAAAGAGACGGTTTCTTCGCCTTGCTATGTGTTGTGTTGAGCCTTCTTCCCAAAAGCAGCGTTTTCTGCATGCAGGTTTCTTGACACAACGTCCAGCAGCAAGTCATAAACACAAGCACGAACTTGGCGGAACAAGCCAAGAAGAAACATGCCCTGTCAACCAGTGGTCCAAGCAAGCACGCCGAAAGTCCGGGCCTTCGGTTGACTCGCTCTCATGGATGCCTGCAAATCGCTTGAGATGACGAGCTGGCAAGATTGCCATGCGAACCTCCTATCCTAGTGGATCCACACACAACTTAACTAAGCCTGCAAGGTGATAGAATAAGGCTGCAGGAACGACAATCACATCTTGAAAAACGCTTGACCAGGAAGAAGCAACTACTCACGATTTATGGACTTCGCAGATGGCTAACCATGATGGCAGCCGGCACGGCACTTGGGCACTTGGGCACTGTGTAGCGATTTCGATCAGTGAGCAGTGTGAGATGAGATCCTGGAGTTTCTAGGCACGGGGATGGCGATGGCGTATAGTAAGCCTGGCTTTCTTTTGGCAAATCAAGCAGACGTGGAGCCAAGGACATACTGCGAGTGGCGGGAGTGGGCTCAGAGTCTAATATCACAGCTGTACCATTCTGTCGCAGGCGCTTGGCCTCCCAGGACTGGTACCTGGCAGAGCACAGGTAACCACAGCTGT